ACCTTCACGTACATGGATTTTTAATGAGCTTTGAAGGTATAATAGGCTTTTACTTTTTATAGATATGCATTTGTAGTTTGTCACTGACATTACTGTAGTTTTAAGGAAATTTTAAGATGTAATGATGGGGTTTTGTGGGCAGGAGGATTGCTTTCATAAAACCTTTTTTACTGAAGCCACATGGATGTTGACTGTGTAGATGATATATTTCATCGATTACCCCCCCCAATGGTGATATCCATTGAAATACTGCATACGTAGCAAAATGTGATATTCTTAGAACATGTGATTTCTTCTTTACAGATCAGTGCACCTTTCATATCCCTAATTATATTAAGCCAAAAGATATGGTGTTCTATGAATGTAAAAGATGGAAAAATGATTGTTCAGTCAGCTAAGACCAAGCAAATTGCACAGCACCCACTTTATCTGTCTGGTTAGCTGGCAGCGTGGTACTACAGTGCAGGCAGTTTCCATAAAACACATGTAAGCATGTGCCTTTTCTGGCATGGGTTTAAACATCTCTAGGCAAGGATGAGAAAAATCTCCTTCGAAGGCAGGAACTAATGAATAATTTAATTGTAGTTACTGTTCCCTCCACTCCATAAGGCAATTGCTTAATTGGGTAGTTGTCTGTGTTTGAGAAGAGTAACTGCCTCATTTGAGGTGTAGAACCTCTTTTGCTATAGGACCTTGGTGATAAATGGGAAAAAGGACTTATGGCTGGGTTGCGGAGTGTGTAGGAATACTTCCCAGGCAGTGCCCTGTGTGTGTTCACTGCTGTATCTCACAGTTAATGACACGTGTGGTTTGGAATATATTGGTGCCTGTACTCTGGCCTTGACCATGTTAATTAAATCTCAGATAAATATGGTAACCAGATGACCTGCTTATCTGCAGGTAAAGAATTAAGAACAAATTACATAGGGGTATTATAAAGAGAGTTTTTTTGCACTGTTATGTTTTGTACCCAGCTTGCAATTCCAAGCAGTTCTTTGGCTTAATTCTGTGATAGGATTTCTGAGTTAGGACAGTGATGTGAAGCTGAATTCCAGGCATTAGATGTTGTTGCTCGAAGAAATGAGGTGTCATTTTACTGGCTGTGACATTTCTGAAGTAGCTAAATGTGGTAGAAGGCCTTGTGTCCCTTTGTCTAAACTGCTGCACTTGCTATATTTATCAGCAAACGTTTAAATGTTGTAGAAGCTGGCATTTCCAGTGGACTTGCCAAGAGACAAATCTCCCTTCCTCTGAGGCAGCACAAATCAAATTAGCTAAGACTGAGTTCGTTCTTCTAATTGTGGGAGTTCTGTCAAATCTGTTCAATATTAGAGATACAGCTGACCCACTTGTGTTTGGCAAGTGTTAGTGACCAGAAAAAAACCACAAGTTTCATCTTTTGTTTAATTCATCAGCTTTGGTTTTGTTAGACAGTTAACCAACAGTTCGTTTTTGCATCTGAAATGTTTTTCAGTACATTTTATTGTGATTAAAAAATCGTACCACAGTCTCCATCATATTTGAGACTTGAAAGTACCCTTAAGGACTTGTGCATTAAGATCTTTATAAAAAGGAAAAAAAAAAAAAAGGCAGGATTTCCTTTGCAAATTAGATGTCATGGGTGTTAATATGACATTGTTGATAACTCAATGCCATTAAATATGTCTGATAAATTTACACGCTAAATGCACGTGAGGGAGTTGGTTTGAGGAGGGAGTTGGTCAAGGGATATCAAGTTCGGAAAGATACAGATCAGTTGTACATGTTGGACCGCCACTGCGCACACCGTCTGAGCTCTTAAGACCTTATGATTGTTTTGCTTTTAACGGGGCTGTTAAAGCTGGCCTACTGTAGGATGCTCTGGTACACTCCGTTTTATACAAAACAATAGTGAAACGTGGCTGTGGGTGAGGAAAATTGTTGTTACTGTTGGATTCTGTCTTTTTAACTGGGATTTTTTTACATGTTGTCATTTCACTAGCATTTGGATTCAGAGGCATAATATCGTGTGCTCCTGTCTTCTGCACTGTTACTGTTGAGAAATTGAAAGACTTTTTTTTTTTTTTTTTTTTTAAATGTCTTTCGAAGATCATTGCATGCAAACTTCAAGTGACTTGTTGGCAAAGTATATTCTGGTTGATATCAGAAAATATAAATTGTTTGCTCGTATACATTACTTGCAGGGAGGGAACAACTCGCAGCTGAGTGGCCTACTTTCTCTTGTCAGGAAGGCTCTTGTGTTAGCACAAAAGATACGGCCAAAAGCAATGAGAGCTCAGGATTGAGTCTTCTTTACTCTTTGTCTTAATATTAGCGGGTGTGAAGTGAGCATTTTTCACTTGAATAACTGCTACTTATATATGACAGTAATAAGCAACTAATGACTCTTTCAGAGCTTGCATTGTATAAGACTATGTCTGTTTTCACATGGGAGACCTTTGACCACCACCAGGATTTCAGCCTGCATTTACAACTGCACTTCTGCGTCTTCTCAACATGATTCCAGGCACGGTATCGGTTTTGAAAAATGCTGTGGCAATTTCTGAACCCATAGGAAAAAATAGTAATGGAAGTTGAGCATGGGTAAAAGCAGCCAATGATATTTGTCAGTTCACTATGAGAAAGAGTGAAAGTAGTATAGCTTTCTACATTTTTGCAGTCTATTTTTTTTTT